TTCCATCTTTGGAGACTTAAAGCAACAGTTCAGGAACGGTTTCGCGGGAAAAAACCACCAATAATGAAGTTGTAGATGAAAACCAGACGATTAATGTATGAAAAACTGGAAAAAAACGTCGGGGAGGGTCTTAGACAGGTACTCTCCCTCTGCCGCTCAGCAATGGATAAAGACGCACGTTGGACGAGTTGTCTGAACGTGCCCGCTGTAAACGCGCTCCATTTTTCAATCAATTTTCCCTGTGGTCCCAAAACGAGCACGATTGCCGACGCGTCCAATGACGGCCGGCAAGGGGGCGGGATTGGGGAAATCCCCAAGAACACCCATGTTTGAGGGACTTTCCACCCTGTTTTTGAGTTTCTGAGGTAAGTTCGTTTATTATTTCCACTGCATATGTTCTTCACTAGGGCTCGTGTATCCCTCAGTAGTAGTGGCATTGAAATTTTCGGACCCTCCCTGAACTGTTGCTTTAATAAAGGATGGAGGCAGTGGAAGGGGTGAACTGGAGCTTTCCGTGCCATGAAGCTCCACTCACGAGGGAGGTCTTTCAGGTGTACCCGCGCTTTCTCAAAACGGTTTTTTGCATGATGTAGAGGGATGTGTGCATGGAGTACAGAACTGTAGTCCATTTCCGCTAAATGGCCCTCTGAATGCCAAAAAAGGAGTGGAGAAATGGTCCTTGGTTCGATTCCCCGCGGTGACAAAATTTTTGCATTGTGATTTGTTGTCACAAAATTGGCACCAAATGACGTCAGCACTGGGATTTGATGTCATATTTATAATCAGGCTTACAAAAACCCCTTACAGGTAGGCGTATACTAAAAGCTGGTGAGGGAAAGTTGTGACATAAAAACGGCATCAACGTGCCGTCGAACAGCTTCATGGGTCTGAAATGATGAGGAGCTAAAAAAAGGGCCTTTTTCCGAATAAGGGCACCCGATAAACCTTGTAGGCTGAAGTTTCCAAGGAAATCAAGATTTTGACTCAGCTTCGAAAAATTTCTCCATGAGTAAGCAAACTTTGTAGCACGTCAGGTTTGACGGCGAACCTCGTAAAAATGACCTCCTATAGGATCGGGAAATTCCCCTACCGAACAGAATAGCAGGTACTCAAGCTGTTGATGACGGGAGGAGGGGCCACCCACAGTGCAGTATTTCTCTGGTGGGTTTCCGCGCGGAGCTCGCCCGCAAGTGAATGGGGATACTTACAGAACTACTCATGTTTGGTGCAAATCCTCGAAGTTAGGTCGAAGATGCAACTCTCTTCGAAACTTTGGCTTTAGAGGTAAATCAATTCTCAAGTCACAAGTATGGCATCATTTTTCGGAGCCGCCATCTGTTCGCCGTCATCTGGCACCATTTCGACGTTACAAGTTTCTTTTTGCCTGTTTTCGGTGAAAGCTCACCTCATCGGGGGTTTAATATTTGTAGTCTTGAATAAGGCACTCATTCTGGCATTTGTACAATTTGGAGCCAATTTGGAAGTTCCAACAAAAAATGCAAAACCTCCCGCATCCCGCGGATCCGAACTATCAACCCTGCCCATCGGTGCCAACCGAAGTCCCCATCGCTATCCACTACACCACCGACGCTGCCAGCAGCACGCAGCTTAAATGCACTCATGAACTTCCACACGCTCTTCAGTACACAGCATGACATCACTACGACAACTTTCCAATTTTGGCCAAACTTCGCGTTGTTTTCGATACAGAGCTTGCGAGAACCCTTCATTATGCAAGCAGTCCACGCCATGAATGAAACACACCACGGTGAGTGCGTAAAAACTGCAGTATCCGACGAAATTATTTTCACTCCTTTTTTGGCATTCAGAGAGGCCATTTAGCGGAAATGGACTACAGTTCTGTACTCCATGCACATCCCTCTACATCATGCAAAAAACCGTTTTGAGAAAGCGCGGGTTCGCCTGAAAGACCTCCCCTTGTCAGAGCAATCCGCTCTATGTACTGACACTCAATCTTTTTTGCCTCTTTGGATTTCTAGGATACGAAAGTGGTGCAAGTGTAGCTGAAGAACATCGTAGCGCAGTAATTCATCGTGCCATCGGTCATCCATTTTCATGACGCTTGAAGTCCTGCTACGCTCGAACCTTTTTGCTTGCCTAATCATGGGGATTTAGCGAATATTGGAATAGAATAGTTTGTTGTTGTTTCAAAAAAACCAGTGTACTGCGCCGCGATGCCCCTTCCCCCTCCACTCCTCCTCCCCAATACTACCTTGAGCTAAAAAGATATGACGTCGCTCGAATACACTGCAAACTGCTATCTCAACAACCTGTCTTATCGAGAAGCAAATCAGGTAAACGTATAAATGTGTTGCAGCGGTTGTTGTGCAGTGTATTCGCACTAGAGATTTCATTCAGGACATACAGGGTGTTCCATAAATACTGCACGCGGTTTTTGCCGTGTAATCTCTCTAGAAGTCGACGTAAGTTCAATCGGTTATAGGAGTATTTGCTCAAACACTTACATACTACAAGCAATGGCATTCATTGGACATGGCTCTCTGTCGCTCTTAAACTACTCTGGGACGGCTGAAGTTTGCATGTGCTGCTGCCCGCACGGTCTCATGAAATATACATTTTCGAACCTTCAAAGAGGGCGTATCCGTTTCTTTGCAAGAGTGCAGTTTTTGGCATAGGTTCTCTCCACTAATATGCCCAAATAAGATCGTCCTCCATATTGAAATATTGATTGGGCGAGCTCTTTGTTTGATTGTGCAAACTTGAGAAGAATAGCGCAACAGCGGTTCTGAACATCTTTCGTACTCAGTGCAGAAACGCTGCCCTGTTGAGAAATTAACCATTCCTCCATAAACTATCTAGTGACCTTATGTTAGTAGCAGATAGACATCTGTTCCGGAGCAGCGTCTGTTACTAAAAGTTACCTATCTAGATGTCGTACTCGAGTTTTATGCTTTTAGCAATAGACAACGGTGGATGCCAACCGTGTATCGAAACCGCTGTCCAGACTTGGTTGCTGCTTGGAGAGAGCAACCACTCCTGTTTTGCCTGCTTCTACAGGAGCTCGAGTGAAGGAATCCGAAGTTAGACGGGTGCAGCTTCCTTCCTTTTTTGGAGAGAAATTAGTTGCGAATTTTAGAAAGAAATTAGAGTAGAAATCAAGTGACTGTTCACGGTCCGTGGCCTATGGTCCCCAGAAGACGTCTCTGTGGGCCTCTTTTTAGTGAGGCTTGCGCAGCTATTTCTGTGACGCTTCCGTACTCAGTGAGATGTTTCCTAAGCGTTTTCCAGGGGTGCATGTGTAGTTCTCATAGGACAATTTTCCACACGTCACGCTAGAAACTCGCGACTCTCAGGCCAGCTTTCACATGCTCCCAAAGAATTGTGGTCGACTCTTTTTTCACTGTTTTCCTAGAAATCTGGAGAAGCTGAAGTTACGGGACGGAGCAGCATGCACGACCATTTACTGCTGTCCTCTTCTATGCAATGCAGATTGTAGACCGATACAAGTTCAAATACGAGAAGTGTTGTGAAAGAATGTGCTGTCTCTCTCAGAGAGAGAGGGAGGCAGACATTTATTCTAAGTACAACGTTATTCAGAGCAATATGCGGAAGTAAACTTACATTGTCGATCGACAAAAAAACCAGTAATCGCAATCAAAAATGACGGGCGAAATTTGTTGCAATAGTAATGGAACACCCTGTACTTTTTCGGAATTGAAATTATTAGTGTGTTTTTAGACCATGGAATCCAAGGAGGTGTGCAAGCTTCTCGGCGAATGCTAGATTCATTGGAAGTGTGACTGCCTCGACTGTTTATTTGGTTTTGTAGGCTAGTCACGAATAAAGTTTGTTTGAAGTCGACGATGACATCATATTCACAATACACACTCTGAGCACTAATGTTATGCATAATCCTTCTGACAAATAATATACTTTGATACATTGATAGTCCTTCAGCTGGCGATACTCTCAGCGGGGACCACAGCTCTTCCATGCTTCCCGGTTTCTGGCGACTTGCATCCAGTGTAGAACACGTTGTCTGAAATACTTTGAAAACGAGTCGGCCCACCGGGTTTGCGGTCGTCCTAGCGGTCTTGTTTGTTTCTTGGGAGCCATTCAGTGACTCGGAGGCTCCATCTGTCATCGTCTCGGCGAAGTAAATGACCAGCCCAACGATGCTTCGATTGCGCCATGTACTGTAGGGGATCTTTCAGGTGTGATCTCTCCCTCAATTCTGAACTTCGTAGGCTCTCCCTCCATTGCTGATGTCGACTAACTTTCAAAAACTTCTTTCTTGCCCATTTCTGTATTGTTTGCATGGCCTTAGCTGTCGTCTTGTTCTCAGGCCATGTTTCAGTGGCATATCACATTGCTGGCAACACTGAAGCATTAAATATAGAGGCTCTGAGGTCAGGGTCTTTCATTTGTTTGTTACTTCTCGAATCGTTCCAAAGGCTGCCCATGCAGCACGTCTCCTTTGGTTTATTTCAGGAGCAATATTGTTCGTCATGTTCAGCTCTCTTCCCAGGTACACGTAGGAGTTTACTCTCTCTTTTCCCGCTAGTTTTATTGTACCTGTATCACACCACTGGTTCACCATCATTTGCTTTTTCGACATGTTCATTTCCAAGCCGATGTTCAAGTCTTCCACATAGCGGGCGTTAGTCATACTTTTCTTATTGATGATGTGTTCCTTTGTCTTCCCAATTAAGGTTTGACATCGGATTTTGTAATGCAGCCGTGAATAACTTTAGTGATATCGTATCTTCTCGCTGTACTCCTTCCTGGATAGGGATTTTTATCTCCGCTCGAACAACTGAGTAGTTGTTGATGTATTCGAAAAGCATTGTTCGAGCAGTTGGATGTAGCAGGGGAGCTCCGGCTTGTACATATGAGGGCATTCCTTGACCTCCACAGAATCGAATGCCTTTTTATAGTCAACGAAGACAAGGACTAATGGAAGGTGATATTCGTGGCTTCTCTCAATAGCTGAGTGACCGCGTGTACGTTATCCAGGCATGAAAACTGCTCTACTGGCTGGTTATTCGTCCAAAATGCGTTCCATGTGATTGAGCAGTATTTTCGTGAACGATTTGTATACCACCGAGAGAAGGCTGATGGGTCTGTAGTTGGCGATATCTTCTCGCTGGCCTTTCTTTAAACAGTAGAACGTTCTCGATCCTTTCCACTGTTCCGGAATCTTTCTTAGCCTTGAGGTAGTGGTTGAAGTGTCTAGCGAGGAGAGCATAGAGAGCTGTATTTCCCAGCACGTAGCAAATCTGCAGAGATGTTGTCAGGCCCTGGGGCAGTTCCTTTTCTCATGCTTCGTATCGCGTTCGCAACTTCTGACTCCAGAATAGTAGGAGGGTCTTCAGCAGGCGGTATCGGGCTTCGCAATACACTTGCGGCTGAACGAAAGAGGTCCGCGTAGAAATCGTTAACAACATCCTCCATGCCTCTTCTCGACGTGTGTGCTTCTCTTTTCTTTGTCCATGAATGCGCCATGACGATCTTCTGATCATTTAGATCTCGTTTGCAACGTTTATGCTAGATTTTCTTTCTGCGGCTTCTAATAACTTAGTTCTCCTGTAGGTGCGAAGCGACTCTTTGACAGCTATGCGGCATGCTCTGTTGGCGACGACTTTTTCCAGGTGTGTGGCGGTTGGATCTTGCTTTCACAGCTTTCCTTCTTTCTAGCGGCTTTCTAGTGCTGAACCTTGGGATGGAATCCTGCTGTGAGTGGCGAGAATTGTCTACACTTCGGAGTATGCCTTGAAGGCAGCGATTACGATAGATCTCAAGGGGTTTAGAGGGGACCAATAGTACGCCAATGGCGAAAAAAGCAAAGAAATCCGTCAAAAATAAGCAAAATAGTACCCCTTTGATTGCCCTTTCATTTTCGACCATGGATGAGCGACGGTAAAGAATGACGTTGTTCGGACGTGTTAACCCCGATAGCCGCCATCATGCCAACAAGCATAGTGTTTTGATTGATAAGGCAATACATGGGCAAGTTGGAAGATACAGCCGCTAGAAGGGAAATGATCATCCAAAATGAAAAGCCAACAGCAAACAGTCCATCCAGATCATCAACAAAACTAGTGGGCGTCACGTCACTGGGGGCGGGGCGTCACGCGGGTCCTGCTCAGCAACCACAGCACCTTTCGCCGTGGGAGGGCCACACATCGCTTCCTTGGCAGCCAAGTAATTGCTCCGTGTGGCGCAGGTTCTCGTCCCGATGCGCGAAAATTCCTATGTAATAGCTTCCTTCCCAGAAAGGCAGTCGTAATTCTCCCGTTGGTTGGTCTAAAAGGCCTCCAGTCGGTCTTCAGTGGCAGATTCAAGTATCTCGCTATTTTAATATTGTGCTGTCACGGAGCCTCACCTTGATCTGAATCCTATTTTATAAACCGCTAACTTGGTGTGTCGATTTGTATGTATCCTGGATGTACTGTCCATATCCGACCGGTTGAGGGGGGCGGTCCCACGGACGTACCAGCGCTGCGGCCGCGACAACGCGGGGATGGAAGGTTGCCGTATCCCAGTGATTGAGTGGTGTCTGAGCAATCCGTCCTTGCCGTCTGCATTCCTCCGCATGCACACTATCTTAGCAGTACGACGCAGCCTTTCCTTCTGCGCTCTCGTCGACCATTCAAAATTTATCAGCTTTTTTGAGCTGAATTCAACTATATTCTGCAAATACTGCTACTGCGCGCTTCTCTTTTTACAGGTAAGTAAGTTTTACTATCTCAGCAGTACGACGCAACCTTTCCGGGAGCGCTCTCGCCACTTTTCCGTCTGCGCTCTCGCGCTCGATCACCGATCAATTCGATCAGCTGTTTTGAGCTGAATCCGGCTAATTTCGGTTAATATTCTCAACTGCGCGCTTCTTTTTCACAGGTAAGTAAGTTTTAAATATGTAATTTGCTTCTGCATAATTTTTGATTGATTTTATGTCAACCATTTCCTCATCAGCAGCAATTATGCTTATTTTTTTTTTTTTTTCTTTCGATTTAAGTCGTTCTTCATGATAGTGCCTGTTAAGAAGTGTTTCCGACAATAATGGAAACACATCAAAGACACCACCATGAAGAACGAGTTAAATTAATTAAATAAGAAAAAATAAAAAACACAAAATAAGAATAATTGCTACTAATGGGGCAATGGTTGGACATAAAATCAATCAGAAGACATGCAGAAGCAAATTAGCATGTTTAAAACTTACTTACCTGTAAAAAGAAAGCGCGCAGTTAGCAGTATTTGCAGAATTTAGTTGAATTCAGCTCAAAACAGCTGATAAATTTCGATTGATCGACCGTGGCGAGAGCGCAGACGGAAAAGTGGCGAGAGCGCAGATGGAAAGGCTGCGTCGTACTGCTAAGATAGTGTGCATGCGGAGGAATGCAGACGGCAGGACGGATTGCTCAGACACCACTCAATCACTGGGATACGGCAACCTTCCATCCCCGCGTTGTCGCGGCCGCAGCGCTGGTACGTCCGTGGGACCGCCCCCCTCAACCCGGTCGGATATGGACTGTATGCATGTACACTGCGACGCATAATCTTAGTTCCACCTACAAATTTCCCAAAAACTAGAATTTGGAGATGTTTTTGAAAAGGGCTCTACAGACAAATTGTGACACATGCAAATGCGAATCTGAATATTATCACGGAAATCCAGTTTGAGAAAGCAAAATTTTTTATCCTCATTTTTTCGAAAATACCCGACTTGCCTATGACGCAAAATCATAGTTCCACCACAAGTTCCTAAAAGGAAAACCCTAGCAAAAGAGACGCAGGAGTTGTTGAAGTGTCAGCTCACGCTAGAATTTGTCGGGGTGACTTCATAACGAACAAGTTTCTCAAGGATGCTACAGGATATGATTCTGGGAAGAACCCTGATTACTATCCGACCGAGATAAGCGCCGTATCGTGAGAAAATAATACGACTTTATCCAGACGGGTACGGAAATCAAAACTTCTTCAAAAGTTAGTGTCTCAATGGAAGCAGTTTCACGTGTTTTACAACACGCTCGTGACAGAGGATTAAGAAATATGCTTTCTGTGAAAGAAATCAGAGAAAAAACGAGCCATTTTTTTTCGCTCAGCCAGTTCGAGTGAAGCGGTGGCATTCTTTCATTTGCGACTTTTGATTTGCGTCTTTCTTTCTCTTAACGTTTTTCTTTCTCAGATCGGTTTTCTACTTCGTAGCACACATGTATGGAGAAGAAAATGATCAGGAGGATGGTCAGAGGTTCCAAAATATCACAGATAAAAAAGTGTCCTCACTTCGCTCTACTTAGCAAAACTTTTTGAGAAAAATGGCTCGTTTTCTTCTCTGATTTCTTTTCACTGAAAGCGTATTTTTTTTATCTTCCAGCATGGACTGTCACGAGCGACGTGAAACTGCTTCCATTGAGACACTAACTTTTGAAGAAGTTTTGATTTCCGTACCCGTCTGGATAAAGTCGTATTATTTTCTCACGATACGGCGCTTATCTCGGTCGGATAGTAATCAGGGTTCTTCCCAGAATCATATCCTGTAGCATCCTTGAGAACTTGTTCGTTATGAAGCCACCCCGACAAATTCTAGCGTGAGCTGACACTTCAACAACTGCTGCGTCTCTTTTGCTAGGGTTTTCCTTTTACGGAAGTTCGACAGCGGTTTTGCCTTTGCTATAAGCTAAGGGACTTGAGTGGGTAATAATTTCAAAATTTGATTGGGTAAAAGCAAAATGCAGCAGAGAAACATGTGGTGGAACTATGATTTTGCGTCATAGGCAAGTCGGGTATTTTCGAAAAAATGAGGATAAAAATTTTTGCTTTCTCAAACTGGATTTCCGTGATAATATTCAGATTCGCATTTGCATGTGTCACAATTTGTCTGTAGAGCCCTTTTCAAAAACATCTCCAAATTCTAGTTTTTGGGAAATTTGTAGGTGGAACTAAGATTATGCGTCGCAGTGTATGTGCGTGTCCGTCTGTCCGTCCGCAAAATGAATTGGTGATAAGGTAGCTAATGGAAAAAACAAAAGCCTAAGCCGTCGGGTATATCTCTGTCGAGTGTATATCCCAAAGGTTGTATGCAGCAAGCCCTGGAAGTCTCAATTGATACCCCAAAGACTTCCTGGAGGGCGAGTACAACCCGAGAACTGATAGATACTGTGCAAGAGCTGAAGTATTTCCAATAATTGCCCATAACAAGGTTTTTCTCCACAATTATAATTAAAACCGTGGCTCAAAGGGTCCACGTAATAATGCTGCGCTGACTCAAGGAATTATCACGACAAAGTCAATGAAGATTCCAAGTGTCTCGTCAGATGTTATACCTT